TCGGTGCCTGGAACCCGGAAGGCCGCGCGAAGCGGCCACTCGGTGCCCGCTGAGCAAGCGGGGCCCCGGTCGAGCCATGGCGTTGTGAGGGGGGGAGGGGAGTGAGTGAGGAGGTGGAGGTTAGCAGGACTCTCCTCCTCCCATTCCCCCGTCCCCAAGGCGGTTCCCTTCGCGCGCTCTGCCTCCTCGCCCGCGGTTCGGCGGGCGTGAGGCTGGCTCAGAGTTGCAGTGGGCTGCGGGCGGTGCGTACTGCGCGGCGGTGGCTGGTGGGGCGCGAGCAGTAGACCGTTCCTCCCTCTGGCGGCTTGTTCTTCGCTGCGGAGACCCAGGTCTTCAGCCTCCTCGTACCCCTCCTCGTCCTCGTCGTTTCCCCCCGCCTCGATGGAAGAAGAAGAGGGAGGCGAGGGGAGGAAAGGCGGGAGCTTTTGGGTTCGCGTCGCTGAGGCAGCGCTCCGCTGAGCAGTCTCGTTGCGAGAGCGCCTGCCGGCGAGCGGTCGCGCGGCAGCAGCTGTAGCAAAGGAGCGTAGGTCGGGCCAGATGGGACCTCCGCCGACAAGCGGATGCGCCATCCAGGCGGCCAGAAGGGAGAGGAAGAGCAGAGCGCGCGCGAGCGAGCGCGAGCGAGCGAAGCTCGCGCGGAACGGCTCAGGAGGACCGTCCGAGGGGCTCGGCCCCGCGAGGCGGTGAGGGCCGCCTCGAGCTGAGCGCGGCGCGCTGAGCGGGCGCCGACGAAGGCACCGACCCCGGGACGCAGGGCCCGAGCCCTGTCGAGCGCCTGGGCTCCTGGCCCGCAAGCAAGCGCTCGGGCCGCGCGGCGGTCCTGCTCGAGCGGAGCAGGCGCCGCACCGCGCGGCCAGGCGAAGGGCCAGAGCCTCCGCCACAGGCACGGGCCCAGCAGCCCGGAGCAGCAGCCTGCGCAGGCGCTGCACGCGGCCGTCACCCAGAGGAGGGCAGCGACCGTCGAGAGCAGCCGGGGAGAGGCCCCGCTGCTCAACTCCACCGCCTGCCCGAGGCAGACGGTGGGACAGGCAGAGCCCGCCGAGGGGAGGGGGCAAACGGCCCCCTCACCCCCAGGCGGGTCTGCCTGTTGGGTGGACCAGGCGGTAGCGGAGGCCCCTGGTCCTGAAGCACAGAAACGGGGGCGGCGACGAGCCGCTCGCAGAGCGCGGCCCGCACCCCCCGAAAAAGAATGTCCCCCGCGCCCTGGAGAGCCACCTACGCGATCGCCTGCATAAGGCGCCCGCGCGCGCGGCCGAGGGGGGCGCTTTGGGGCTGAGAAGCTGCAGAGACAGCAAGAGCGCGGGTCGCAAGGAGAATAGAGAGGAGCATGCAGGCGAAAACCCAACTCCGGGGAAACCTGTGTAAAAAAACAGTGCGCGGGGGGGGTCGGACACTCCCAGGCCGTCATCAGGGAAGAGGGAGAGTAGCATTCTTGAGTAATTGTAGAGAGGGGGGGAGGGGGGGGGACAGGAGAGAGGGGGGGTAGAAGGGAAGGGGGGGGACGAGAGAGAGGGGGGGGGGGGGGGAAACAGGAGAGAGAGGGGGGGGAGAGGGAAAGGAGAGAGGGGGACAGGAGAGAGGGGGAGGGGGACAGGAGAGAGGAGGGGAGGTGGGGAGGGGGGGCCGGGATCATCACCATCTCCATCACCATCACCATCACCATCACCATCGTCATCATCATCATCATAATCATCATCATCATCATCAGCAGCAGCATCAGCATTTGCATCAGCATCAGCATCAGCAGCAGCAGCAGCAGCATCAGCATCAGCATCAGCATCAACATCAGCATCATCATCATCATCATCATCATCATCATCATCATCATCATCATCATCATCATCATCATCATCATCATCATCATCATCATCACCTCATCATCCAGAGCGTCCCGGATCGGCGGCACTGGCCGGAGGCCACTACAATATCGAACCCCAAGAAGCCCAGGGCGCCCTGGGGGCAAGCAGGGTGTTTCTTGGCATGGGTCTCCACTGTACGCCCAAACACGCTCGCGCCGCGAACAAAGCACGCCGGAATGTGTTCCGCCGTTTTCGGCCTCTGGGGGCCATCGCCAGGCCCTGGGACCATCACGAACAGACCCTGGGTAAAAGACTAGACCTGAGAAAGGGGTCGGGACTTCTGGGGCTTAGCGGGCCCTGGAAACGACAAGGCCGTTTTTTTACCGGTTCCGTTTTGCCGGTTTTTTGCCGGTTCCAAGGACGTTTTTTTTTTTTTTCTCTCCAATTCCGTCATACCAATTCCGTCGCCGTTTTTTGACCGGTTCCGGCTCCGGTTCCAATCCTGGAGCCGCTTTGTTGCCGTTTCCGGTCGCCGTTTTTTTTTTTTGCCGTTTCCATTTTCAAGAGACATTTTTGTCGGAAGCGGTGAAAAAACGGCCCTGCCGTTTCCGGGGCCCACAAAGTCGGGTCGGGCGAAAGGGGGGGACAGCAAAGGGGGGGATTGAGAATCAGCTCACGTAGCTGATTTTCCCGGCGCCTCCCGGCGCCGGAGGCGGCCATGTCTCGAGGAATGGGCCCCTCGGTGGGGCCGAAACCAGCTGCATGCAGCAAATTTCGTAACCCCCCCTTTCCCAATCCCCCCCTTTCGTCCGGCCCGACAAAGTTTTGGGGACCCCGTATGGAAACAAGCTCAAAGCCTCCCATGCCTGGGAACCGACCGCCTCACCGATCCTGGGCCCAGGCTCGGCGTGCGTGCGCCTCCCGGCCAAGCCAGGCGGGCGTGCAGGCCGATCAAGACGGGCAGGAGGAGGAGGAGGAGGAGGAGGAGGAAGAGGAGGAGGAGGAGGAGGAGGAGGAGGAGGAGGAGGAGGAGAGGAGGAGGAGGAGGAGGAGGAGGAGGAAGAGAGGAGGAGAGGAGGAGGAGGAGGAGGAGGAGGAGGAGGAGGAGGAGGAGGAGGAGGGAGGCTCCTGGGCACAGGACGGGCCCGGCCAAGATCGTCGGAGCGAGGTGTTCGGTTGGCGCCTCCCAGCTCTGGGGGACGCCTGGGGAGGCCGCCGCCGGCGCATGGGTGACGGACCGCGTGGTGACCTTGGAGTCCCCAACGACCTCATCTCGCGGTTGGTCTGTCACCACACGGTTCTGGAACCCTGGAGGCCCCGGTCAACCGAGACACCCTCGGAGAACGGCCCGAGTCCGATCCCTAACCCCTGCGGGCTCACCACGTGGTGTGGTCACCACACCGTTCGGGGGCCCCCGGACCATCTCCTGCGTGCTGCGTGTGCTGCACCGTGGCGCCGCTTCGTGGTGCGTGGCAGGCGCTGGCTGTGGAGGCGAGGCCCGGGGAAGTCCTGGGCCCAGGGGTCTGGGGGCGCCGAGGCTCCCGCTCGGCAGCCGCGCCCCGCGCTGAGCTTGGAACCCTCTGGGGGCGCCAGGCTCGCCCGAGCTTGACGACAGGCTGCCTCTAGCGTGGAGCGCCTTGCGTGAGAACGCCACGCATCCGGAGCACCGGCGTTGGTGTTTTCTCCTGCCGACACGGGGCATGCGGCACAACTTGTGCCGTCCGTGGGGGCCTGCGGAAGGCCGTTCCGGGCCGCACGGGCCAAACCTCGGCGCGGCACAGCCGATGGGCCACCGCGCCAAGAGACGTGGAAGGGGTCGAGACGCCGGAGGAGGAGGAGGAGGAGGAGGAGGAGGAGGAGGAGGAAGAGGAGGAGGAGGAGGAGGAGGAGGAGGAGGAGGAGGAGGAGGAGGGGGGGGAGATCGCCGCCCCAGACCCCCGACGTCGAGCCTTCTGCATCGCGGTGTGGAGCCCCGGATGTCTCAAACGACCCCTTCTCCCAAGGTCAGCTGTTCGTCCCCGCTCGCCCTTGACGTCCCGGGGACTGGCAAAAGCTAACGGCCACGGCTCCCCAGGTTGCGGCCAGTCTGCTAAGCCGACCAGCCATAACTGGGGGAGCTGTGGTCCTTACCCCACCTGGGGGAACCCATCGCATCGACGATCTCTCGAGAGGGGTGACGAAATCGATGGGTCCCCCAGGGGGGTAAGGACCACAGCTCCCCCAGTTGCGGCCAGTCTGCTGAGGCGCCCTCCCCTCAACCCCGTTGGGGTCGCGGCGGGGGTGGAGAGGCGGGAGGAGGCACCACGTGACAGCGCATCGCCGTGCCTCCTTGCCCAGACCCCCGACGTCATGATCTTACCATGACGTCGACCCCCAAAGGTCTCGACCCCTTCCCTGGGACCGTCTCTCATCCTGAGTCGCTTTTCCCCATATCCTAAGATGGGGTTCTTGTCATTACTTGGACGCCTCCTACTCCTCCTTCTTCCTCTTCTCCTCCCCTCTCCTCATACCCAGACTTACTCATACACAGACTGACTCACACGCAGACCGTCTCTCATCCTGAGTCGTTTTTTGACGGCCACGAGACCCAGCAAGGAACCCCCGAGGCCGAAAATATAGCGAGAAACCTTCCGTCGTGATGTCTGTCACGACTTGAGGGGGGTCCGGTTGCCCCGAGGCTACCGACCAGCCAGAAGCAACGCGCGATTCGACCTGCGCCGTGGCGGACCAGAGAAATTGGGGACCGGCGGCCGAAGCACCTCGAGTCCGCAGCGCCTGGGGGGCCCCAGCTTGCCTCGCCCCGCCCTCGGGCGACACACAGTCGGGACTGCATATGCGCGGCTCAGGATGCACGGGCCCCGGGCGCCCAATGCCGAGGCTCCTCGAGCGGGGCTGGCCGTCGAGCGTGGCCGAGGATGCACGGGAGCAGGGGTGACCGAGGAGGCAGGGGTGCAAGGGTACCGGGATCCGTGTCGCCCGCGGCGTCCTCGTCTCGTGAGGCGGAATCCTTGGCGCGGCGTCTCCGACTCCTCCTCCTCCCCTTCCTCCTCCTCCTCCTCCTCCTCCTCCTCCTCCTCCTCCTCCTCCTCCTCCTCCTCCGCCTCCTCCTCCTCCCTCCGCCTCCTCCTCCTCATGGCAAGCCGATCATCCTTACTAGCCATGTTGATCGTGCCTTGTCTGATCTCGCGGTCTGCCCGCTGCCTGCATCGCCGTGTTGTAGCTGGTCGCGTCTGGCCGCAGCCCGCGAACGCGCGCCTCGCGCAGCAGCTCCAGGCAGCCGGCCCAGTGGAGGCCCTTCTCACAGGCGCTCATGATGGCGTTGTAGGCGATCGAGCGGCCAGTGCCGCCCCCTCCGCCCACAAGGCTCGGAGAAGCCAGGGCCCGCGGCTTTGGACCCGCTCGTGGGGGCCAGAGTCCGGATCGGCGGCCGAGGCCCCGGACGCCGAAGGCCTTTGGAGCCCGGGAGCTTCTCATCCCGTCGGGATCCAGACTGCGCCGGGGGCCTGCTCAGGACGGGCCCTGAGAGAATCTGGCAAAGGGAAGGGGACGAAGGCAAGTGCGCCGACAATCGGCCCCCGCACCCCCATCCAGGGGTCGCCACTGACGAGTTGCTCGAGCCGCGCCCGGCCGTGGCGACGAGGGGGCCCCTTTCTCCCCCTTGCTCCATGGGGGCACTTTTTAGTGTTCGCGGCGAGAACGGGCGTCATGGGGGGGGAAAGGGAGGGGAGCATAATGCAACGCCCCTGCCCCCCACCGTGACAGACTGTGGTACCGGACGCACCTCGGAGGTGCTGGACGTTACGTGATGGGGGGGGGGGGCGAGGGGGAGCGGGGAGGGGGGGGTCACAACGCCCGTTGGGCTCTGTCGCCCATCTGGCGGCTGCCCGCGCTTCCCCGGTGCCAGCGGGAGACCCTGGGGGGCGCCTCTGGCCGCCCGGCGATGGCATCGGGCAGGGGGCCGTGCTCCTCCATCCGCCGCAGGAGCTCCAGCCCCTGCTCCCAGGGGGCGGCGCTCTGCTTGCACGGGGGCCCAGAGTCGCACCCCATGCCCCGGAGGAGGGCTCGTCGAGACCACGGCACGGGTCTTGCCGTCGCTCGGACGTCCATGTCCCGTGCACGTGTCGGTTTCGTGCGTGTCTTTTGTTGCTCGATGGTCCAGGATGGTCCTCGATGGTTCTCGCCGAGAAAAAATGCACACGTCCGAGCGATGCCAAGGGGTCAGGATGGACCCCAGGAGGGGTCCGAGGACGGACTGTGAGCGGACTTGGACCCGGTGGGAGGGAGGCCCGCTGGTGTCTCAGCTTGCCGTTCCTCCGAGCGCCGTCGCACGCAGCCCTGCCTCAAAGCATCGTGGGCAGAGACATGGCGGGCAAACTTGAGGTTTCTCCAGAGAGGCTTGCCTGTAAAAGCCCCAGCTCCACGCGTAGAGAACTGATCCCGTGTACCCCCCTCATTTTGCGCCAAAAGGCGACAGTGGCTTCCTCTGCTGGTGCAATGGCTTCCTCTGTTACTGCAGTGGCTTCGTCTGCCGTTGCACTTGCCTCCTCTACCCCAACGGTGGGGGACTGGCACGCACGGGACTTACGGACAAGGGCAGGGAGCGAGGGAGGGATTCTATTAGTAGAGAGGGACAACATCATGGCGTAAACAACAACTGTCCGAGGCCCGCGCGAAGTTTTCGGATCCGCGCTGGACCTCCCTCCCTGGCGCGTGGACCGCGCAAAAAAAGCGACGCCAGAAGCGCCGCCAAGGGGGGGGGGGGGGGGCAAGCACAAACCCGAGACGTACGCGCGGAGCTCCGAAAGTGTGTGTGCGTGCGTGCGTGCGTGCGTGCGTGCGTGCGTGCGTGCGTGCGTGCGTGCGTGCGTGCGTGCGTGCGTGCGTGCGTGCGTGCGTGCGTGCGTGCGTGCGTGCGTGCGTGCGTGCGTGCGTGCGTGCGTGCGTGCGTGCGTGTGTGTGCGTGTTGTCATGTGTTTCTTCTCCTGGCTACCACGACGCCGTGGGCCTGGCACGCATGGGACTTCTTGACAAAAAGGGTAAGGAGCGAGGGAGGACTGGAACGGCAGTGGAGCGGCAGGAGCAGCCGGCGTCGAAATCGGACGGTCGACTCGGACCGGTCGGTGCATCGGATCGGGCCGCACTGCCCCGAGTCCCGAGTCCGAATCGAATCGGAGCGGCCGCGCCAGGATGCACAGCGAAGCCATGTGAGCCTCGGGCCGCATCGGATCGCCGGAGTGTCGGAATCGAATCGGATCGGACTGGCCCAGATCGACATCGAGTCGCATCGGTCGGATCGGAATGTGCCTTGAGGGGGGCGGGATGGGGCTTGCCAGGACCGGACCAGGCAGGGTGCGCAGTGCCATCTTGCGCTCTATGCCCTCGACTTGAAAGCTCGTGATGAGCCCATCTCCCACCACCACTACCAGATGTAGGAGAGGGAGGAGGAGGAGGAGGAGGAGGAGGAGGGCCTTCTCATCCTCCCTTCTCCCCCGTCCTGCACATGGTGGTGGTGGTGGTGGAACATTCGCCCCTCAGCTCGCCGCGCTGCTCTGGGGCGAGCCTGGGCCCCGGCTCTTGCAGGGGCCCCCGCCCGGGCCGCAGCGCCCGGCGGCGTCGAGCAGCAGCGCCAGGCCCTCGGGCCACTGCGACCCCCGCTGCCAGGCGCTGAGCAGGCAGCCGTAGGTGACGACGTTCGGCCGCACGCCCGCCCCGCGCATCGCCGCGACCACGCCCGCCACCACGCGCCAGGGCGCCCCGTCCCAGACCTGGGGGGCCAGGAGCATCCGGCGACCCTCCGGCGTGCATGTCGGGCAAAAGGGGGGGATAGCAAAGGGGGGGCTTGAGAATCAGCTCAGAGCCTGTTTTTTTTGGATTCAGGCAAGTTTACTTGCATGGCGCTCGCCCCCCCCCCCCCTCCCCCTCGCCCCTCTTCAAGCGAATACTAGCGTGCAAGTGCCTTTCGACTTGCGTGGTTTCCGCGCCCCCCCCCCCCCCAGACTTGCTTCATGCAAGTAAACTTGCCAGAGTCTAACAAAAAACAGGCTCTCACGCAGCTGATTTTCCCGGCGCCTCTCGGCGCCGGAGGCGGCTACGTATCGAGGAATGGGCCCCTCGGTGAGGCCGGAACCAGCTGCGTGCAGCAAATTTCGTACCCCCCCCTTTCCCAATCCCCCCCTTTCGCCCGGCCCGAGCATGGGGGCCTGCTCCTGTTGGAGTCGTCGTCGTCGCCGCTCCCCATCAGCGGGGGCGAGGGGGGAGGGGAAGGAGGACGGGTCTCGGGTCAGAACACCGCCCCCCCGGGGTCGCGGGGGGGGTCCCGAGGAAGGCTTGCCCGCGGGGGTCCCCGGGGTAGGTCCCGCCTTCCGGGTCGGCGGCGCCGATCGTGAGGCCTTTGCAATAGGGCGAGAATGATGTCATGCTACGATTGGCTCAGTATGCGCTCCAGGAGGTCCAAGGGGTCTCTGGCGGCCCTCGTCGGGGCAGAGCCAGGCATCTGGGCAAGCCTGGTAATCTTGGAGCGCCTCCTTCTCATGACCATCTGCCCCTCAGAGGGAACGAGCCCCAGCCCCGGCAAGAACTGTGGTGGAGCTTGCGAGGTTGGCGGGAGCTCTGGGGGAGAGAGCTCGTTTTGCTGTCCGGCCAGACGCCGACACACGCTGTCTCCACTGCCATGTCCCCCTAGGGAAAGGGTGAACGGGCGCAGGGAGCTCTGTACGTGCTCCGCTGGAGCCTCGCCGAAACCAGGCGGGCCTGTGGTGAGCCGCTTCACGGCCACGCCACGACCCACAGGGACCGTGCCCCCCCAAAAAGTGCAAGGCAACACCCCTGCTGCACGAGAACAAGCCATTGAGAGGCAATGCCGTAAGTCAGTAAGTGCTGAAGGCTTGATCCCTTCATGGCGCGCTGCGCGCGCCAGGGAGAAGGAATCAGCGCCGATCCGAAACATCTGTGCGGACCTGCCAAAGCTTCTGTTTACGCCGTCTTGCTGTTTTGAGAAGGAGGAGGAGGGAGAGGACGAGCAGGAGGGGGAGGAAGAGCAGGATGAGGAGGATGAGGAGGAGGAGGGATCCCAAACAACCCCCCAGTGAGGCTGCGCTGAAGGCTGTCGCGTCTGCGCGTGCGCGCTGCGCACTGGTGACGCCAGCATAGAAGAAGAACAATGGGCCGCAGAAGGACTTACTGGTACGATGTGTTTCTGTGAAGGGGCCCAGGGACACACAAAGAAGTACACACAAATCCCAGGATTCCCCACATTTTCCCATAGGTCATGGGTTTCTGTGAAGGGGCCCTGATACATAGACACGAATAACAGGATTCCCCATATTTTCCCATCCTTTCTGGGTATCCCAGGAATCCCCACATTCCCCCACAGGTTATGAGTTTTCGTCTTCCCCCCCACTTTCCATAGTTTCCCCTACTTCCCTGGGAGTCGACGACTCCCTGTGCATGTGTGTGTGTGTGTTTCTCTCTCCCTCCCGACTTCGTCGGAGACGCACGCCCGACCCGCACCTCTCCAGCCTCAGTGGGCCCCGGAAGCGACAGGGCCGTTTTGCTTCCGGTTCCGTTTTGCCTTTTTATTGCCGGTTCCGACGCCGTTTTTTTGCCAATTGACTACCTACCAGACCACCCCAACCCAACCCGAAGACCCGAATTTCGGGTTGGGGGGGGTAAGGGTTCCACATGTGTTTTTTCGACGTTTCCCGACCCCCACCCCACTGGAAATCGAGGGTAAATCTGAGCCTTCGGGTTGGGTTGGGGTGGTTTGGTGGGTGGTGACCAATGCCGTCGCCGTTTTTTGATCGGTTCCAGCTCCAATTCCACTCCTGGAGCCGTTTGTGTTGCCGTGTCCGGTCGCCACTTTGGTTTACCGCTTCCATTTTCAAGGGACATGCTTCTGGACACGGTGACTGGCCATCGCTCGGACGTCCATTCCCTTTGCTTTTTTCGGGTTAGTGCGTGGCTTTTTCGTCAGATGATCAAGGGTGCTCCTCGATGGTCCTCGCCGAAGGAAAAATGCACACGTCCGAGCGATGCCAAGGTGAAAAAACGGCTCTGCCGTTTCCGGGGCCCACAAAAGTCTCCAGCACAGCGTCCTGCAAAGCACATCGCTCCTCGCGCGGCGTGGCCGGGCAGCGCCCGCCCACGCGACAGACGACGCGCGCTTCTTCCGAGCGTGCGCGCCGTCCCTGCCTGGCCGACGCACGTGGACGCATAGACGGTGTGACAATGGCGACGGCACCACAGTAATCGAAGGGGCCCTGGGACACACACAAATAGGTAGACACAGATTAACAGGATTCCCCTTATATTTTCCCATCCTTTCTGGGCTGACGTCTTCCCCCCCCCCCTCCCCATAGTTTCCCATATCTTTTCTTGGGAGTCGACAGTCAATTTTGAGTGTGTGTTTCTTTCCCCTCCCTCCGGCTCCTGTCCAAGGCGTTCCTTTTCCTGTGCAAGCTCCTCGGCACCGCCTGCACCCCGGCCCACCCTCCGGCCGCCTGAGGCCTCATCCGCCTCTGCTCTGTCTCCCCAATTTAGAGCTTTGCGTAGCCCGCCT